ACCGGTTTGAGCACCGTTTAAGCACCAGCACCGTTTCAAAAGTACCGGTTTGGCACCGGTATCAGATAAAACCTAAACGATACCCATCCCTAATTACGACACAGCAGCACTGTTGCAAAAGAGACAAGAAATTAATGAGATTAATTAATATTTGTGTTTAGCAGTGAACATGATTTTAACGCTGAGTGTGTTCTCAGCGCTGCTGTTTATTTCTCAGGTGAAAGGCGTACGTGAGAGTTCTGACACTTTAAACTGGATACGTTAAAAACAGTGAAGGTTACAGTCGCACAGCCCACTAAAGACGTGGAAATGTAAAATGTATTTTATTTATTGGACAAGTATTGTGTGTGTGTGCGTGCTGTTATTCCAGTGATGTAAAAGAGACTTGGAACCAAGTACAACAACATTGATATTTTCTGCATCATCATCTCAGACAGTGGGAGTGCACAGTTTGTGCTGCTGTAACTTTACAGCTTCATGTTAGTAAGGTCCAGCTTAACAATTTTAACATTTAAGATTTTTTTTTACCCAGCGGAGAGTCTTCATTGCACTTAAAACATACTGTAAACATGGTGAGTCCATGCTGTTAACTGTTAAGCTAAAACATTTATAAGCAGGGTAAACAGTCCAATTTCTGTGATAACTTATCGCGCTACAGGATTGGAAGCTATCGCTGCCTCTCTAAAAGCTTCATCATCCTCAAATAAGTGCAAAATTTAGCCTTAAAATTTAGCTTTTAGTCCTTCTGTGAAGTCGACATTCATGCTGTCAGACGTGGTACATTCAACTTTGACAAGTATTTGGTTGTCCAGATATTTCCTCAGATTAGACGTGTCTCCATAACCAGCTTTGCATTTTGATCTACAAACATCTGCGTCAAAATTTGAAAAGTGTAGCCATAAAAGTTGAAACACTACTTTTGACCCGCCATTATGGGAGGAGGTGGAGCGCTAAATTATCCACCGAGGCTAACAAGCTTGGTAGACATCCATAAACTGCATGGAGGCATTATAAAGACAGGCATAGGACTCAAATGATGGTAACATATGACTGGGGTACTCTGTGAAGTCAAAAGCTTTTATTACCGCAGTAGACTGGTTTAAGGTCAAATAGCTGCAACACAACTTCTTATTCAGTGTGGTTTATAATCTGCTTACAGTAGAAATGCAGTATGCTTTATTAAAAAAAATATTATTATTTTCTGAGGTCAGTCTAAGCACAAATGATCCAAAGCTGTGGTTTCAGTTTTTCCCTCTTTTCTTGACTTTGTATGATGTTATTTATAACACAACAGATATCACTGTGCTCATCATTAAGAGTACAGGGGAAGTTGTCATACGACAGCCTAACTTGTACCCTTAATGATGGTTTTGACACCTCAGTGTATATCAATAAAAACTTGATTTGATGACCATTTTAATAGAATTTTTCTGCATAGGCAGAGGCTGCTCGTTTCAGAAAAGAGCCTCAAAGGTTACAGCTAGTAGTTTTTCAAGAGATAAAGGGTTAATGTGGGCAGCTCGTGCACACAGCTCTGTCCAGAAGAAGCCCCACCCACCTCCTGTTCAAACTTTCTCTTTACAAAGGGCAGCCAATCAGAAAGCAGTTGGCTTAAAGTGAAGGGGCATATATATACAATAAGGATTATTATGAAGAGCTAATCACACAAAGCTACTCTAGTGGAGTCCAGGACTTAAACTATTGAGCTGAAAATGAGCAGAATAAGATGCCTACAACATCAGCATGAAGCATGTTAGCTTTGTGACATTAGCGTTTAGCTCAACCTAACGTGGCTGTGCTCAAATAACTGAACATGCAACACGTTCCAGGCACAGATGCATACAGATTGCTATACTGAGCTTACATATATAATCTAAATGTAGTAATCTAATTTTATTATAACTTGGTCTTGAACTTTGGACTCAAACCTAGGCCGCTGCTTTGTGGCCACACAGCCTGTAGTCACCTGAACACCCACTGAGCTAAACTGAAGCCCCCCCCAGCATTTTTTACTGTTGACAAACTTTAACATTAGATACCTGATGCATTCAGTGAATGCAGTTTCTCACTCACACACACACTCTCGCATGCAGATGCACGCACTCACACACACACGCACGCTCGTTTTGATCACTCGCCTCATTTTGCAGCCAGTAAGCTGCAGCCTGAGAAGAGGCATATGGAACGAGCTGCCTCAGCATCCAAAAGGGAGAGGGAGATGGAGAGAGAGACGGAGAGGGAGGGGTGGTAGTGGGTGCTATCGCACGGAGAGAGGGAAAGCGTCAGAGTGTTCTAGACTGCACAGTGGCTGCCGTGTGGCATCTCGGCAGAGGATAGGAAGAGGAAAGGAGCAAGAAAAACAATCACCTTCCAGTGGAGTACTACCAGTCTCTGTCTGCTCCGGATCATCTGCCGCGCTGCTCTAATCTCTGACTGGTGCTGAAGCCACCAGGATTACTGTTGTTGTGATTGTTGCTGACACATTGCTGCGCTTCTGACCTGCTCCCACTGTCTCTTGGTGCCTCTGCACTGAGCTGCAGAGCCCACAGCTCTGCACTCATTGGGGACTTTGACCTAGGAGGATACAACATCTTTGACTTCTGCCGTAGATGTACCCGCAGTAGTAAAACCGAAAACAGCAGAGTGCGGTTACCTGTCTCCGGCGAGGCGAGGGGCCATGATTTGGGGGGGCCATGAGCCCCGGGTGTATGCTGCTGTTTGTTTTTGGCTTTGTAGGGGGAGCGGTGGTCATCAATTCTGCTGTGCTAGTCTCTCTATCAGTGCTGCTGCTGGTTCACTACTCTGTTTCTACTGGAGGCTTACCTGCCCTGCCTTCCTTACCCTCCTTACCGAGACCCAGCAGGTACAAAATATGTTTGTTTGTGTTATGTTGCGTAGTTATGTGAAATCAGTAATTGCAGCTATAGAGTCTTTGAAACCTTGCAGTGTTGCTGCCATGTGGGTGCGTTTGTCTGACACTATCAGACTGCACTCTAAAAGTAGGTCAAAAGAGAGAGAGGGATGTGAGTGGCATGAGTCATATCTTGACTAAATCATCTTTCCCAATTTCACCTTTGAAATTGGTGGTTTTGGTGGGTGTACCAGTTGATAATAACCATCTTTTGAAAGTAAAACTGGTGCTGGTAAGCTTAACATGTAAAATATATTTTCCCCCCTGTTATGTTTCAAAAACAAAAACGAGTGCTGCTCACCATCAGTGTGTGACTGCTGTGTCTATTGTTTTTGTTTTTTTAGGGCTGCTTTTAATCGCTGCTTGCCGGCTGCTTTATTCCCCATGGCAGCCATTGTTCTCTTCACTCTACAACAGTTTTTTTTTTTTTTTTTTTTGGTCACTGTAGTGTGAAAAGCTGCTTGTGTGTATTAGCTCGATGCAGTGGAGAATGCTGTGTTACAGTTTGTGTGCATTACTTCCAGGCAGCTGAGCTGCCGGAGTTTATTTATTGAAGCTGAAGCTGATTTCTTCCTAAGCTCTACATTAATAACACAGATCACAAAATGCAGCTTTTCTCTGGTAGAGGCTGGTAAAGTTGGTTTTGTGTGACTTGCCTGAGCCTAGTAGTTGGGAGCTAATTGAGTTTGTGAGGCAACAAGTTATTTTTCTCCTCCCACCACTTCAGTGCCAAGGGAGTCTTTGCTATGACACCTCTCTGTGAAATCCCCACTCAGTTTTGTCACACACTTTGTGTTGTTTTGTCTAACTGATTACATCATGATGATCTGCTTTCACTGCACTGGAAAATGTCCATTTAATTTAGCAAGATCAAATTAAATGGAAGATTTTTTTGGGGGAGTATAACAGTAACTATTTAACAAAACAGAGCAAAAAGGATTCAGTTCAGTAAGATCCCACGGTTTGTATAGTATCACATAAACTACCCTCATTAATGTACACGTTCTGCATTTTTCTGTGGTTCCTTTTTAATTAAGACTTCTGCTGCAAAATAAATGTAATCTTTAGCTCTGCTAGCAGTGTGACTACAATATCGCAGCAACTAATGGAATAAACATTGTAAAATTTGGTATAGATATTCATGGAGCTTATCAAATTCAGTCATGATGAACTTACTGAGCCAATTCAAGGTGGATTTGCACAAAGCGTAAAATCTTCTATCATACAGACCTTGTCAGTCACTTGCCAAGGGAATAATATTCTTGGGATAAGTTGTTAACTTTAGTTATACCTTAACCTTTTTCTTTATGAGCACTATAATCAGGTCAGAATTGTAATTTTAATTAATTAATGCTGTAGTTTAAGACCAACTACTAGATAATTATTAGCTTACAACTTGTGATTGCTAAGACAAACGTGTGCATGGATAATTCTTTGCTGTGGGAATGACCAATGGCCTTTCTGTAGAGCTTGGAAGTATATTTGTAACTACAGGTGTTGCTGTTGTGGTCAGTAGAAAGAATGCAGGCTTAAAACACTTTACTTTTTAAACTTGGAAGATATTTTTTTATACAGTCTGTGGGAGTGACCCACAGTACACATGTGGCAGCTAACGTCGGTCTATGTGGCTTTGTTTTTAAAGCCTCACATGCTGAGCAGCCAGACTAAAACGTAGACCCGGAGTTTTATTGTTCTGATAATGCAGCACTATTGTTTTTGTGCGAAGGTTATGCCTTTGAAAATTAAAATGATTAATGTGGACGTAGCTAAAGATTGACCTCAGAGACCAGCTCACATAAGTCTGAGGACAGCACCTTGATGGGCTCTGATGGCACTGTAGGTATGCTGCAGCAGTTTAATTTCCAGTAAGAAATAACGAGTTTTCATTTTCTACTATGAAAGGCTTTATGTTTAAATATTTAGTATTTGAACAAATAAAAACAAACTGCTGGTATTTGAAAAATATGTCTTTTTATTCTGAACATCTTTTCTACCTTTTATGTATTGAAGGAAATTATTCATTTACATCTTGTTTCAGTGTTTTAATGAAAGTGTTTGGATGATTTTCACATTTTCAGTTGGGATTTTTAACGTTGGAATGGCTAATTGTAAAACATTAACAGACCGGTCCCTTAGAAAATCGTTCACTCCTTCCAAAGTTGTTCTCATCACGTTTGAGTTATCCCTCTTTCTGCGTCTCTCCGTCTCCAGGAAGGAGCGTCCAGTCTCCATGGGCCTGTTCCAACTTCCTGCAGCTGATGGCATGACCCCTGACCTCCACAGAGAACCCGTGGACACCCCATCTGAACCATGGAGATTCAACAACCTTAGCCATCCACGGTCTAACACCAGCCTCAAGGTACGACGTAGGCAGGTCACGGTTTGCACTGTTAATTCATGCCAAAGAAAGACTTCTCTTCATATCAACAATTCCAAAGTGTAAAGTTAGCAAGCTTCCCACGGATCAGATCCATGACATCATCTCGTGTTCGCTTAAGAGTTTGTGAAGCTAAATCGAAAGCATCCAGTGCCAGCAGAAACACCAAAGAAAGACTACATTTCCATCCAGAGAGAAAGGGTTGTTCAGTGTGCCTAGAATTTTTAACAGCGCGTGCGAGAGATGGGGTGGCGTGGAGCCCAGGAAACAGGGAAAGTGGTACCATTCGGGGGCCTGCCTTTAACCTCAGGGGAGGGTAGAAAGGACAGTGTGTCTTCACATTGTTGCTGTTGGTAACCATGCTTCCAGCAAAGCTCCATCATGAATATTTATGAGCATCTAATAAGTATTCATTTGTAGTTATTACACTAGTACTGGGTCAAGAGGACGTTTTAAGAGTGTGAAAGTGAAATAACATTCAGTTATCAAAGTTTTGCAATGCTGGCATATCCCAGTGTATCCTTTTTCCAACTTAGCTTTTACACAATGACACAGTTTTACGCTTCACTCTTAGTCCAGCTGCACAGCAGCGCCTTTGTGTTTTGTCCTCTTAGTTGACATTTTCAGAAGATTTAGAGTTAATGATGCCATTCCCCCGCCACGTTCAGCAGCTTGTATGTGTTTGTGTGCAGATGTTTTTTTGGAAGCCACAGTCAACAGTTGAGCACTGTTCTCCCCCAATTGGCTGTACAGTGTAACTATAGCAACAATGGAGTGACGCCATTGTGCAGACAAGTAACCTGAAAGGAAATACTCCCACCGGTGCAGAGGGAGGAGAATAGGTGGACTCGGAGAGGGAAGAGGGATTATGTTAGAGGAAACTGTAGCATGGATATAATTTAATTCTCTAATACTGTCTGCGAACGCCTCTTTATCCCTTTTGTGTTTGTCAAGATGACAGAGGGATCTGGATGATGGCGTTATTGTCCTGATTGATTCTTTTGCATCAGCACTGTCCTATTTATGGGATAGAGGTCTCCGGCATTAGAGGATCAAAACAATTGAGGCTTAGAAAATCGAAACGCCTCTGCTAAGTGCTCGTGAACTTTAGAGTACGAACGTAATACTTGAAAGTTTTGATTTGATTGACTTTTATAGAGAGATTTTGACAAAGCGGTGACCTTTACTGCCAAAGGAAGCCTTGAACAGGACTCACTGCTATGTTTCATAAGTTCAGGCCTTTCCCACACTTTTCCTGTTGTTGGCTTTTGAGCTTTTTTATATTTTTTGTGTCCCGTTTGGATCTTTAGCCATAAGAATTGTTGTCTTATGCCCAAGAAAGATGCCAAGCGGATTTATTTTACCAAGTGGATCATCATGGCCTTGCCATATTGGTCCATTTGATTGACCTTTATTATAATTATGTATTTATTTTATTTTCGGTTGCTACAAACGGGACAGACATGACTGGGGGATAGGACAGGGAGAAAGAATGAAAGAAAGAGAGGGAGAGAAAGAAAAACAGAGGGGAGAAGAGACGGTGAGAAAGGGGGGGAGAAAGAAAGAAAAACAAACAAAACACCTGGATCACCTATATGGAGAAAAAAAAACAGAAGAGAAAGCAAACCAAAAAAAGAGCAACATAATAAAAACAGCACCATCACAATAAACTAGCTAGCAGTAGATAACAGTAGATACTGAATATTAAACGCTATTGTGCAGCACGCAAGATAGACAGCGCACAATGTGCTTTGAGGCAGCAGCCAAGAAAGGTGTAGCCCACGTCTGTGAACACCCGTGTGCACACCTGTGTGGATCAGCATGCTTGTATTGCAAAGGTTTCTCCATGTAACGATCTGCTAGGGAGTGTGGGGAGCCATAGCCCCGTCCCCCAGGCTTTTGAGCTTTTCATCTTCCTTAGAGTGGTTTCACATTAGCGTGGCCACGATATAGCAGTAAAACTATATAGTGTGTTTAGTGAATAATTCATTTCTAATATTTCTCAGCTTGAAGAACTGTTTTCTCCAGTCACAGTGGAAGGTGAAAGTTCACCACAGAATGTTCCCAATGTGGATGTTGATCAGGACCAGGTAGAAACTATAGCCTGTGCATCCACCTAATGTAGTTCTGTGCTCTGTGTCTTAGGTGGTTTGCAGGTTTTGCACTGTGTGTGTGTGTTTTAATATTTGCTCATGCTAAAAACTAAAAATACTTTAAGTCCCAGTGATAATGCACGATGCTTGCCTAGCAACAGTGTTTTAGCAGTATCAGAAGGGGAAGTGCTTCTTTGCCTCTTTTATTAAATGAACTAGAAACAATAATTCAGGTTTAATGACATTTTAAAAGATTTGTGAAGTTGAGCTGTTTGGGGCCTGCATCCCAACTTAAACCTGTTTAAATGTGGAATGATTCTTTGAGGCAGAATGGACTCTGCACCAGACCTGTAACAGTGCACCACTCCTGGCATTGAGGATCCTAGAAAACTGATCAAGAAGCTGGTTATCAAGTGATCCAGTTAATTAGCAGATAACTACATGTGACATCCACTAAACTTGGATTGATGTCCTTTATAGACTTTTAGTAATTACAGCAGCAAAAAATGCCTTGTGGCGGGATATACAGTGTAAACTGAAGACTGTCGGAGGTGAGGTCAGATAAGTAACTGAAAATCAGTCAAAAGTGACGTTTCTTATATCGGAATAATCGGAATAATCCTGCCCATGTCGGGGACAGTTTTGACTGGAAAGCTCGAGCAGCTTGTGCCAAAATAAAAATGTGTTTTCTGTCATTGAGATACATTTTTGGTTTTTAGTAAAGATGACATCAAACAAGATGAGGAAAACTGCAGGATGGAGTAGTTTCAACAACACTTGGAGCACAGTCATAATACAGAGGAAAAAAGTAGTTTGGTGTATTTACAGAATAAGCCTAGTGAAGTTTATGTACAGTGGTGGAAATAATTATTTGCTATCCTGCTGAATTTGTAAGTATGTTCACTTCAAGTAATGAGCAGTCTGTTTTTATGTTAATTTCATTTTAATGGAGAGTGAGAAAGAGAGAGAACATGAACCGCAAATAAAAAACAAACAAACCCCAAAATCAAATTACACAAGTCATAAAAAGATTTGCATGTCATTAAGTGAAATAAGTATTTAATCCCAAAGCAAAACATGACAGTACTTGGTGGAGAAATCCTGTTTGGCGCGCCTTTGAACAGTAAGACATTTCTTGTAGTTGGTCACCAGGTTTCTGCACATCTCTGGAACGACTTTGGCCCACTCGTCTTTACAGAAACTCTTTAAATCTGCTGCTTGGCGACTCGAAGCTTCAGATTTTTATGGCAGGATTGAGGTCTGGAAACTGGCTAGGCCACTCCATTATCTTACTCTTCTTGTTTTTTAGACACTCGTTTGATGCCTTGTTCGTCTATGGTATTGTAATATTTTAGCCTTAATTTAATAAAGGGTTTGTTTAGCATGTTGCATTCTGTGTTGGGTTATTTTGTGTATCCGTGTGTTTAGCTGCATGGTAAAATGTTCCCATTTTAACATGGTTAACACATAATGTTCTGTTTGAATGGAGGAAATGTAGATTCTCCTTACTGATGATGTCCTAGTGGAACTACAATTGAATGACCGTCATTTTTATGTGAACTTTGCTTGGCTTTGTTATGAATGCAGTGAGGTGCACATAACCTACTTTTACAATTGATAAGGGGTGAATTTTAAAGTTTTAAAGACTTCCTGAGGCTCATAGTTTTATTTTTTGCTACCTCGTATCTTCTGATTGCCGTTTTCCTCCTTCAAGGATGAACTGTCCCAACTGAACTGTGGGAGTTCCAGGTCCAACACGCAAACCAACCAGGGAAG